CGAAAAGGCGGGGCCGAGCGGGCACAGGCCCGCGAGGGAGGAGCGCTGCGGCGGTGCGGTGGCGGCTAACGGCGCCTGGCCGGCTCGCCGCAGGGTCTAGAGCTCCGGCTTCCTAGCAGCTTCTGCTGGGCAGGCGGGCTGGCCGCATCGTCCAGGTCTGCGCCTGTTTTCAGCCAGGTGCACTGAAGCGGCCCACGCCAGCACCTGTGCTGGCTTCCCAGGATGAAAGTTCCTCTCAGGTCATCTTCCAGCTGCCCTTTGCAGATAATTCATCTTTGGGCTTCAGTGCCCTTCCTATGGAGAGAGAGCTTACCGATCTGATTAAAGACACCTTGCTCCTCCAAGCCTGAGCCAGTGCCTCTATCTTCCATTTATCTCGCCTCTCACTGCGTTAAGACCCCCGCTCCCGCTCCCTCCCTGTAATGAAATATCACAAAGATGCAGGGTTTTCACTTTATGCCTTTCATATCCAAGGTGGCATAACGAAAAGTCACTGCAGCTCTGTGACATCTTACTGGACCTGATCGTTGCTTGTGAGCCAGTCCTACAAACACTCTTCCCAAGACAGTCAAGAAATTGCTGTTAAAAATAAAATTCCGGCAAACTGTCTCGGGACTTCAAAAGGAACAGACCATAATTGCAAATGAGCCACGACAAACGACCAAGAATGTATCACCACAAATAATAATAATAAACGCCAGCATTCTTCCAGTTCCCTGATGCATAATGGAGGACTAGCTTCCTCTTCCTGCTACTAACGGACATTTCATTTCACTTGCTATTTGTCGTTTTCCCGTAGAATTACCAGAGACAACATGCATGTGTGTCTCGCTGCAGATTACAGGCTAGAGTCATTCTAAAACTCTGGTTTGTATCTGAATAATCTGGGATGCTTGTTAAAATATGGGTGCCTGGAGATACAATCCCCAAGTATTGTAATTCAGATCTGACTGGGGCTGAGAAATTTGAATTTTTAATAAGCATTCCAGGTAACACTATAGGTGGTTGGAGGCTCAATTAGAGAGCATGGAGTTATAGCTTTTGCATGTTACTACTACTCTGAAGTGGGATCACTCATCCGATTTCCAACAGGCCCACCCACTTATATATAACATGCCTATACTTATTGCTATGGCAGTCCTGGAACTTCCTTTTCTATTGACCTAGAAAGTTCAGAACTTCAAACAAGTTTAATTGTCATGTTTATTTCACCAGATCTTGTTGTAATACCAGAAATAATCACTTGTCAGCTATATAATTCACTGGGTACCTATAGCATAGAGCAGGTTCTTGAATAAAGTGGTTTGTCCAACATCATTTCATTATAATGTTGATGAGATGTTGTAGGAACTTAACTCTTGTTTGTATCAATTAGCCTAGGGTAGAATTGGTTTTGTTATACCTCATTTTGCTTACAGTTGCAAGACCTATTATTAATGAAATTAAGTGGGGACTTACTATACAGAGAGCACTGTCATCTATAGTCAGGTTAACACAAATGAAACTAAAGAAATGATGATCCCTGCCCCCAACGAACTTAGTGTCTAGTTGTGGAATTAAAACACAGACACAGCCCTTCCAGTGTGACTCAGTGGTTGAGCATAGACCTATGAACCAGGAGGTCAGGGTTGATTCCCAATCAAGGCACATGCCTGGGTTGCAGGCTCCATCCCCAGTAGGGGGCAAGCAGGAGGCAGCCAATTGATGATTCTCATCATTGATGTTTCTATTTCTCTCTCCCTCTCCCTTTCTCTCTCTGAAATCAATAAGAAATATATAT